AAAAAAAAAAAAAAAAACTCACAAAAAAACCCAGACCAGGATGAGAAGCTTGAATTTCAGAACAGTGTTCCATTTTGTTTGGGTTTTTAGGTAGTTGTGGTTTGTTGGGCATTTTTTGGTGGATTTCTTTTATTATTTTTTTTATTTACCTCTATTCCCCTCTTGGGAGAATGCAGTACTAATAAAGCTGAAGTAAGTGGACAATTCTAAACACTATTTCCAGGCAGTGATGATAGCTACCCTTGTAATAGTCTTATCCACTTCCTTGATTACTAAAAAGTTTCCTAAGTGGGATGCAAAACACTAATTGACCAATTTGAGAAACACTATACCTAACATTCTGTGATGACCCTAATAAATTGAACTACTGAGATTTTGTGACAGTTCTGTTTTGTGACAGAATCACAGAAACTTGTAACAGAACTCCAGCATATGAAAAGGACTAGGGAAGTAACCTGCCCTGAGAGCCCTCGATGGGATCACAAAACTATCACCTGACAGTCACATCTCACCAGGCCACAAGCAGAGGTGTACAAGTAAGAGCGGCCGCAGTTGCTGCTACAAACCCCCATAGTCTCACACCACAGCACAACTGACAGAAGCAATCAACTACCAAATTTTGTAATCCAAACTAAAAAAAAACAAACAAAAAACCCAAAACAAAACAAAACAAACCCCCACAACACAAACATAAACAAAAAACAAAACGAAACAAACCAAACAAACAACAAACCAAAACACCCACAAAAACCAACACAACGTGATGGTGGGTTTGTGCTAATATATCCACTTCGATCTTCCTGACTAAAATGAAGTGGCAATAACAATGCTGAAGCAACACTTCAGATAAAACTCATCTCCCTAAACACTGGGGATTAGCTCCTGTCAATAAAGAAGACGGTTTTTAAAACGCCAGGAGCACAAGTTTGTCATTAAGACTTATTTGCTGCTTTGCAATGCAAGTGAAAAATTCCTCACTGGGAAGTAAGAACATAGAAACTATTGTATTAGAAAGACTGTCAGCATGCAACTTCACTCCTTCCTCTTCTGAGTTCTGTCAGTTCTCAGACTTAGGCTCAACAAACATCACTTCTTTAGAACCTGTATGCTCTTTCTACTTATGCAATGAGATCACTGCGTCAATTTTGACTTACTGAGAAATACCAAATACCCAGATGGAATACTTAGTACAAGCTTCATTGCAGACAGTAAATTCATTTTACAGAGAACCTCCAGCTAGTCTCTACACACACACCTTTCTTCGAGGAAGTGAAAGATGTACAGGTTTAATATCTGAATATTTACTGCCTCTTTATAATCCAAACCATTTCCCACTAACATGCCGGTTAATATTTTGGTAAAAATTATGGAACACCTACAAATGCTACTTGAAAGTCCCTCACATATGGAAATACACATACGTTACAGAAAATTAACATATGTAAAAGACCAAAGGTAGCTTTAAAAAAAAAAAAAAAACACCTCCTCAACACTGAAAGATCAGTTGAAAGTTAACTGAAAGACCTTTAGAGATTGACATCAGATATCAATCATGTCACAACATAAATGAAATTCAGAAAACTGCAATTAACACAGCTGTTAATTCTGCCAGGTTGACCCTGTGAGCCGCTCCCTCAGTTGAAGCTACTGACAGCAGCATTTTGAGGTAACTGCATGTAAACTGACAGCTATGCCCCTGAGGAGATATGAAAAAATAAATTCAGCATCTTTTACAACTTCAGCTCTTCCCTGCAACACTTTGAAGCATTCTGAATCTACAGACCAGGTTAAACAATGACTATTCATAGGTCACAAAACCACAGAACTCAGCACTGCCATTAAGCCTTTCCATTACCTGTGCACTTGGGTCTTTAACCACATCTCCTGACAAGAAACCACTTACGGTCATGTTTAGTTGCAGTC